GAAAAGGATCTCAATCTGAGTTTACAAAAGAATTGCTCATGTAGCTTTCTTTATTTTTTTTTCTTTTTTCTTTTTAGTTTCTTTATTTTGAGAGAGAGCGTGAGCAGGGGAGGAGCAGAGAGAGAGAGAGAGAGAGAGACAGAGAGAGAGAGAGAGAGAAAATCTCAAGCAGGCTCCACACTGTCAGTGCAGAGAACGAGGCAGGGCTTGATCTCATGAACCGCCAGATCATAATCTGAGTGGAAATCCAGAGTTGGGCACTTAATACAGTGAGCCACCCAGGAGCCCCAGCTCATGTAGCTTTAATTTTTTTTTTTTTTAATGTTTATTTATTTTTGAGAGAGGGAGAGAGGCAGAGACAGAGCGAGAGCAGGGACGGGGCAGAGAGCATGAGCAGGGAGAGCGCAGAGCCTGTCACAGGGCTCTAACTCATGAACCACCAGATCACGACCTGAGCCGAAGTCAGCTGCTTAACTGACTGAGCCACCCAGGCACCCTTTAGCTTTCTAACTGTACAGATGCTTAAGCCACTCCCAGTGCCAATATAACATGAGTTCTTCAGTGTGGAACCAGTAAATGTATACTTAATTTTTTTTTTTTCCCCCATAGGCCAGGAACCATCACACTTCCTGCAGAAAAGACATCTTCTTGCTCTTTAATACTTCTAGGAAGAGACCCCCTTTGGTCCTGCTAACATTTCTGGCCTTCAGATCCTGAGATACAATTGTTTTTTTAAAACCATGTACATCATAAACAAATTGAAAGTAAACTAAACTGTGAACAGATACCCAGAGTAGGTGTGTTTGCTTGACAGCATACTAATTCAGGAGCAATAACCAGTGGGTTCCTATGGATGCCAGAAACAAGCTTGATTAATCAACCCCTATCTATCAAAGTCTATTTTACCACAGAGAGAAAACAAAATTACGGAATATTATGAAATAAAATTCGCGCATCCATATTAAAAGGTTAAGCCAAAGAATTGGGATGCCTACTTTTGGAGCCTAGCTTGCCATATTTCAAGGAAAAAAAAAATGCAGAATTTATCTTTTGTGAAAGACTGCACCTATTGATTTTACCTTAGATTTTAGGGTTTGTTTAACCCATAGCATGGGTATGGTGTATTGCAAATCTGATAAACCCTCTGACAATGGTCACATGCCTGTTGCTTGGAAACAAGTAAATCTACAGGCTTCCTGGACCTCCCTGACCACACTGGTACTAGTCTATTTAAAATTTAGCTAATTAACCCATGAGAAGCTATTAGCTCATAATAGTTTATCAGCTTACTGAGTAAAATGCGGTTCGAATTTTAGGAGATTAGACCCTGAACAGATGAAGAGTTGCAACAGACTGAGTGGGAAAAATACATAAAACAAGGGGATAAGAGCTAAAGTCTGAAGCTTAAAGACTGCTACCCTTCCTGATTTGGAGATAAAGGATTTAAAAACAAAACAAAAACAAAACAAAACACAAGCTGTACTCTATGTCAAGAACTTTCTTCAGGCAAGGAGGTGAGCAGAGTCAAAGGATGAAGTGAACACCTAATCCTTCTTAGGTAATAACAATAGGTGGAGACTAAGGCTGCTTCAAAAAGGACACTGGCAGATTAAGAACAATAACTATCAGAGATGTTCGGCTTACTTTACTTCAAATGCCTATTTAACAAAGGCAATCTGAGTGATTTTGTTTTATTCTTGGATGACATAGCATGGGTACTGAAAGAACCTGTATAGTAAGAATGGAGAGAAATACAAATAAAAACATATTTAGAGATGAAAAAAAAAAAAAATCAGAGCCAGACACCTGCCAATACATCCTACACTGTGGCTTTATAATAGGATCTTTTAATGGAACACACAGCATTCAAGGTTTCTCAATGAGCTAGTCATGAAAGCTTTGGGGAGGATTCCTCCCCTAATTTCTTCGCTCTATCTTTATCTCTTGCTTTGTAACAGGCTATTCCCATGGGCAGGTAAAATATATTGGAGTCTGTGGATTTAAAATGTTCAACTTCTGATATAGGAACTGATAGTGTAAAATGAGAAAATATCAAACATCTATCTTACTAAATCAAGCATAGCATCTATATTGAGAATAATTTTTGCTTGATTCTTACAAGTCACTGAAACTATTCATAAAAGTCATTACTGACTGGGATAGCTTTGGTGGGGTAGCCAGAGAAATATTCAGGGAAATAAGTATTTTAAATATTTATGGAATGGCTTCTTTCACTACATTCATCCCTTCAATCCTTTTTTTCTAAGTTCTTTTTACATTCCAACATAAGAAAAAAAAAACAAACTATCTTTCCTTTATTGTTTCACTTAGAGAGGCAAATTAGGTAAAACTATACTACATAAGTAAAAAGGAATAAAGTTAAAAAGGACCAAAAGAAAAAAAAAAAAACAAAGGACCAAAAAAAAAAAAAAAAAAAAAAAAAAAGGATAGGTGATACAGGGTCAGACTATACCTTCAATGAGGCAACTAAACCCAGTAACCACCTGTGAGCTGACTCAGTGTGGTTTGAGTACCAAGCCCAACAGCTTGTCTTCACTGTATTGTAGTGACTGTCTATCTAATAATTATAAGAAATTAGGCAGAGAGAAGCTACTTAATTTTCTAGCCCCATGCGGTGATTGATCAGTTGAAGTGTATGACATCTATAAATTACTCCAAACCCATCTTTTCTCTAATTTACTCTAGTCCTAAACTATGACCACAATTATACTACTTTCCATTGATCTCTAATTCCTAGGGTAGGTTCTTACCAACAAATTATAGCCACAAGTAAGTAAAAAATGAGAAAGGAGAATAGTAACAGGTTTTCACAACATCTAAGATATCACCAGGTATTTTATAATGTACACATAACTTTATAGATGAAAATCCTAACCATTTTATCAGCATGCTTGTTACATATCCAAAGAAGCTAAAATCTGGCATACTATCTGGCACTTTAATCAAAGTGTGGCTTATTATGATTACTATTTAACAGATTTGCAGTTCAGTAATGATTATATGAATATAATGAAATAAGAGCATTTCTAACAAACATGCCAGAATTCCCATATTCAGTTGAAGGATATTCTCTTTAAAGTAGTCACTTAGAGAATTTGTGTATTTCTAATAAAGTTGCTGCTGCCCAAACATTTCAGTAACACCTTTTTAAATTTGTTTTTAATTTTTTTAAATGTTTTTATTTATTTTTGAGACAGAGAGAGACAGAGCATGAGCAGGGGAGGGGCAGAGACAGGGGAGAGACAGAATCTGAAGTGGGCTCCAGGCTCTGAGCCGTCAGCACAGAGACTGATGTGGGGCTCGAACTCATGGAGTGTGAGATCATGACCTGAGCTGAAGTCAGACATTCAACCGACTGAGCCACCCAGGCGCCCCAGTAACACCTTTTTTAAACCTAACTTAGAGGGGTGCTTGGGTGGCTCAGTCAGTTAAACATCTGATTTCAGCTCAAGTCATGATCTCATGGTTTGTGAGATCAAGACCGGAGTCAGACTCTGTGCTGACAGCTCGGAGCCTGGAGCCTACTTCAGATTCTATGTCTCCCCCTCTCTCTCTCTGCCCCTCCCCTTCTTGTGTTCTGTCTCTCTCTCCTTCTCTCCCTCTCTCTCAAAAATAAATAAACATTAAAAAAAAAATTCTAAACCTAACTTGGAGATCATTTATTAAAATTATCTTTACTTCATCTTAAACATTATTCTTATCTTCAGGCAGATTTGATTTTTACCTCCATTTAGTTTTAATTCAAAAGTCAGTTTATAAATAACAGCAGTTAGTAAATTAATTATTACTATTTCTAAGATACTATAGTATATGATTTTCAAATATCACAAAATGGTAGGTAGGGGGCTAAAATTAAATCCAATATTATGTTGTTTTAATTACATTTAAAAATGAAGAAAGTTTATATAAGAAATCTGGATCCTTGGCTTCTCTTAGAAAACTATGAGTTCATAGTACTGGGCAAGTGTTTCCTCATGGTAACTATTGGTGGGAGCTAAACTGAGGCTGCTCCCTTCAGAAGAGGAAATGTATTTTCACTTTTAAGTTCCTACTTAGACAACATATAAAAATACAGTGACATCAAGGGGACTAGACTTATTGTAGTTAATTTAAGCCAGTTAACATACTTGATAAAACTAAGTTGGCATTTCAGGTGGCCAAATACTCCAACTTACCTCATTGCTAGAGGATTACCTATCCTTGCCTTGTTGAACTCTGGAGTAGCCTTAGGGTGTGTTTTGGCCAATAAAATGTAGATGGAAATGAAATATATCACTTTAGGGCAGAAGCTTATGAACTAGCATGTAGTTCACCACATCTGGACATTTAGCTACGAGGCATTATTCCAGGCAGAGGTTTCTCCATCAGCATTGACCCTGAAGAAAAGACAACGGAAGAGTAGAATCACAGTCCATAACAAATGGGCAGCAATCTTTGTTGTAACCCACTGTGATCTGGGGACCATCTGTTACTACTAAACAACTTAGACTATCCTGATAGACAGACACATATTTAATTTACCTCCCTGGCCCATATCAGCAACTAAATTTGTGACCCATGCTTTTCCTGTAAGTTCCTTTCTAAGTTTTAGAATGTGGAAAACTGAAGCCCAACAGGGTTAAATAGCTTAGAGTTAATAAAGTCAGTCTCTGTATTCAGGTCTGTCTGACTCCAAAGTTTATGCACTTACTTTAATTCCTTTTTCTCCTGCACCAAAATATATGACTGGAATGTTTTGTCATTACTTCTTTCACAATACTGTAAATAAATAAAATGGCCTTGAAATTCACATTTTTCTAAAATATCTAATCAAAGAAGGTATCTTAACAAGTTGCTCAATAAAATAATCTTTTTTGAAAGATTTTTCTAGAAACCATATAATATGTATATATTAATATACAATTCTATAGTCTTTGGATTTATTCTGTAAACATATTCTGTCTGTACCATGTTAAAAGAATTTTTACATCATTTCTTGTTTTGCAAACAACTCAGACATTTATTAATTTACAAAAAAACACAAATGCAAAGTAATAAATTTGGCTTCTTTTTCCCAAAAAAATGGGAAATACATCTTGGTAAAGAAATTTTAAATTATTTTTACACACCAGTTGGTTGTTGGGATTTATAGTTTTATCAAGAAAAAAAAAAGGCAAAAATCCTCCCCAAAACAGTCCCCCCCAAAACCCACAAAAAAACAAAACATTAACTGATTACTATATAAAATTGTTTACAACAATATGGTAAGCAAGAAACAATAACTGATCAGAAAACACCCTGCTTTAAAGTAATTTTCACACAGATTTCTACTATAGTGCAGTTCACTCCCAACAACTGTGAGCCCATTAAGAGCACTTCTGTACATTCAAAGACGTAACAAAATGATACAGTATTTATTGCAACAACAAATTAAAGGTTGTTATAATATATATAACTTAAATACCCCGCCCCTAGTGATAAATTGGCTTCTTATTCCTTAAACATAGAAATTCTGCTCTTCATTGTAGAAAGATGAAGTCCTTTCATCAAAAGGCACATTCTTATCTGCAAAAAACAAAACAAAAACAAAAACTATAAATGTTCATCCTGGAATAAACTTGAACACATTTTAAAATATCCCCAAAGATTTGGCCTGGCAGGAAGGTAATGAAAGTATTTAATGTAAGGGAATTACAATGAATGGCACTGAATAAAACAAACGATTATTTTGCCTATATTAATTAAATCAGACCCTATCTTTTGAATTATAATTCTAACATTTCCAAAGAGATTTTATATGGTAGTGACATGTAGAAGAAGTACAGGCAAATCTATTTCAAATATATAGTCTCATGTGAAAACAGGAGTGACCATAATACTTAATGCTTTGATTTATTTAAAACAGGGCCTGCAACCTATTCAGGTATGTGTGCTAAGTTTAGTACTTAAATACATCACCAAACATATACCGAGCTATTATCTGCCAGAAAGAATGCTTGATACTGGGGAAGATGGTGATGACAAAAAAGAAAAAAAGAGAAAAATAATAAACATTATTCCCTGCTCTTGTTATAGAACCACAAATAAAGGGCAGAAATCACTCAGAGGACAAAAAACCTGGCCTAGAAAGGAAGTCTGAATTCTAATACCATCTTGGTCAATTATTTACTGGATAAGTTCTTCTTCTTAAGAATGGCATAAAACAGGGATGCCTGGGTAGCTCAGTCAGTTAAGCATCCAACTTCAGGTCAGGTCATGATCTGGTTCATGAGTTCAAGCCCCGCAGTGGGCTCTGCACTAGTAGTGAGGAGCCTGCTTGGGGTTCTCTCTCTCTCTCTCTCTCTCTCTCTCTCTCTCTCTCTCTCTCTCTCTCTCTCTCTCTCTCTCTCTCTCTCTCTCTCTCTCTCTCTTTCTCTCTCTCTCTCTCTCTCTCTCCCACCCTCTCCCCCTCTCTCTCTTGCTCCCCCTGCCCCTTCCCCACTTGCTCACTCTCTCTCTCTCTCAAAATAAAGACATAAACTTAATTTAAAAAAATTTTTAAAAATTAAAAAAAAAAGTAAAGAAAATGGGATAAAACAGGGGCACCTGGGTGGCTCAGTCGGTTAAACATCTGACTCTTGGTTTCAGCTCAGGTCATGATCTCATAGTTCGTGAATTCGAGCCCTGCATTAGCCTCTGCATTGACACTGTGGAGCCTGCTTGAGATTCTCTTTCTCCCTCTCTCTCTCTCTCTGCCCCTCCCCTGTTCATGCTCTCTCTCCTCAAAAATAAATAAATAAACAAAAAAAATCTGCTTATTAAAGCTTTTTAAAAAAGAATGAGATAAAACAGTTTCCAAGAATTTAAGAATGTCTTTTTATGGAAACCTTCAGGATGAAAACAGAAAACTATTATAATAAGAGTCCAAGAGCTGGGAAAGAGTTGAGAGATGCAGACCAATCACACTATTTGTCAGGTGACATGGTAAGGAAGAAAAGCCAAGATTCACAAAACAGAATTAAGGAGATTCAGTTATTAATGACAGAAGCTCAAGAAGCATTTCAGTCTACATAATCATATTCTGTTGCTCCTTATTTTACCACAGCACTCCTCAGTCATGAGGATTTAGTCACAGAAGTTTAAAGATTATATCAGATTAGATTAGCTGCTCTATCGTTCTATTGACAGAATTCCCACTGCACACACATACACAAAAAGCTACTCTGTTTACATTGGATTCCTACTCATACTGCTCTGCAAAACAGCTACTCGTGAACGATAATTCCTTAAAACACATACATTCATTCTGTGACCTCCAAACCCAAATATTTCTCTTACTAGCTGCCGAATTTAACCTTCAGAAAACATCTTGAATAGTTAGGGTGACATATTATAAGCTGTGTATTTAACACTAATCTACTTTTTGTTTGCTGATAAAAATATTGACTCATTTTTGTCTTTGTTTTTGCTAGTAAAAGGGGGTGGAGGTGTATTGGGAAGAATATAGTTCTGAGAAATTTTGACTTTCTGATAAAGAGACTGAGGTGGGGTGGGTTATTGCCTACCACCCTCTTGTCACCCGAAACACAGATGTGGTGGCTGAAATTACAGCAGTCATATAACCAGGATAAGACAAGCATGAGGAAAGGCTGGAGAAAAGTGCATAAATTTAGACTCTGATCAAACAGCCATTGAGTCAATGTCAGGAGCCAACTACTACAGATTTCTTATGACATGACAGAAACTCTTGAATTCAGAAAAACTTCTGCTATTTTATGTTCTTTATTAAAATAGGGAAAAGTAAAAAAGTTGTAGAAAATAGTCAATCATAGAGAAGCAGAGAGTAGAATGGTGGTTGTTGGGGGCTGAGGGAGAATGAAATGCAGAATTGCTATTCTATGGGTATAAAATTTCAGTTATGCAAGATGAGTAAGTTCTAGATATTTGTCATACAGCGTTGCACCTATAGTTAATAATATTGTATTGTGTACCTAAAAATTTAAGAAAGTAGAGCTCATGTATTCTTAACACAATAAAAAAAATCACCATGCTCTTCTATGAGGTAAAGCAACTGTGCAGTTTTTAATAATTTTTATGGAAACCTCAGTTTGAGTACTTTTCAAACCTCAAGAATGTTTTGTCTCTTCATATTACAAAATGATGCAATAATAAAAAAAAGTCAGTATTTTCAAGGACAACTTAAAAGCTACCTCAGAAAATCTTAAACTATCAAAACAGCTACAAATCCAAATCAAGTTAAAAAAAATGTCTTAGTGCAGTCAAGAGTATTGTTACTCTTTATTCATTTAAATAAATTTGCAAATATTAGATGCCTGTTTTTGTTTTTTTTTTGGTTTGTTTGTTTTGTTTTTCCTCCCAAATTCTTTTAAAGAAGATACAGTATCTATGGATCTGGAAGAATGAATAATATCTGAGAACACTAGGAAAGGTTAATGACTTAATAATTGTGTTTATAACTTTTCTGTCCATAAACTTGAGCTCTTTGTCCCTATATTGTCTTTAACCCCATTCAGGCACATCAGCCTCATGGGGTAGCTATGCTTTGCCTCCCATATCTGTCTATCTCAATCTGGGACTACAATCCAAACAGTCACAGCGGGGTATAAATCCTGAACAAAAGCAGCAAGCATTTCATTAAATGGATCAACTGCTATATGGACAGAAATTTGTGATTTAACTGTTGTAGAAGTGTTCATTTAATAGAATTAATTTAAACCAGATCAAGCAAACATTTTTGCTCTAGGTCTGTTCTGTCCAACAGCCACTAGTCACATCTGGCAATTTAACTGTAATTTCAATTAGTTAAAATCCAGTAAAATTAAAACTTCAGTTTCTTAGTCACACTAGTCAAATTCAAATGTACGAGTCACATGTGGTTAGTAGCTATCAAATTAAATAGGATAACTCCAGATCATGCAATGAGATGAGAAAGGGCATTACCAAAAAATCTGATGTTACATAACATTTGTTAAAATAACATACAAATAATTCATGTTCTTGGGGCACCTGGGTGGCTCAGTCGGTTGAGTGTCTGACTTCAGCTCAGGTCATGATCCCACTAATCGTGAGTTTGAGCCCCACATCAGGCTCTGTGCTGCCAGCTCAGAGCCTGGAGCCTGCTTCAGATTCTGTGTCTCCCCATCTCTACCCCTCCCCTGCTCACACTCTGTGTCTGTCTCTCTCAAAAATAAATAAACATTAAAAAAAAAAAAAACATTAAGGCTCTCTTTTATTACCTTTTATTAATTATTACTTTTATCATTTAAATAATGACAAAGTTGCATAGTACCCTTTAAATGGATAAAGTACAGACTAAACGTAACATTACCAATTTTTATCTAAAATAAACATTAGTACTTTGACATACTCTTATATTCTATTTACTTTGAATACTCTTAGTGTTTATTCTGATAATATGTTTCACAGTGAAAGTAGTGTTTTAGGAATTAGAACTATTTTCAAATTGGTAACTGAATAAGACCTTCTTAATGAGTGTTTCTGGTTAAATACTTATATATCAAATCTGCTTTCTAATTCTGATATAGTGATGTTAATATGAAAAAAATATTTTGTGGTCAAGTAACATTGAGCACAAATGTAATGAAGACATATATATTAAATTTAATGAAGCAGAATAGAAGTAGCTAAGAAGCAAATTTAGGGTTTTAAAAATTACATACTTGAAAAAATAGAGGTTAGAGTGGGAGAGAGCCAAAGCATAAGACTCTTAAAAACTGAGAACAAACTGAGGGTTGATTGGGGGGTGGGGAGGGAGGGAAGGGTAGGTGATGGGCATTGAAGAAGGCATCTTTTGGGATGAGCACTGGGTGTTGTATGGAAACCAATTTGACAATAAATGGCATACATTAAAAAAAAAAAATACATACTTGATAAAAATGACTAAAACAGCCTTGAAGTGATGTAAGTGCCAGCTTTTAGAAGCTGCTACCAAGCCTGTTAAACTGTCCTGTGGTGTACATCATTATAAAATACTACTGGTTATTTTAATGTTTGGTGGAAATCAAACAGAATAGCAAGAAAGTATTGTTCCCATTTGTTGTACATTGTTTTAAACTGTTTTGGGGACTGGTTATGAGTATTTGTTTCCAATATTTTTCTTTGAGGAAAAAGGGACTTTTTAGTCATTATATGCTGATTCCTCAACAGTTTTTCTACGCAAGAGGGCTGAAACATCCTACACAACACTTAAAAACCGACATTTGCTTTTTAGTTTTGTGATTTCTTTGTGCAAAAAATTATAGTAACCAAACATAAGAAATCACCTCTCATTTACAAAATTAGGATATCGATAGTAAATTCAAGAGAAGTTATATTAACCAAGTTGCTCAAGTTACTTTTTTTCCCATTCATATATTTTCCCAATTTCACCATATTAATATTAATGTTTAAAGTACTACATATGAGGACACTGCTGGATAACTCTGCAATATCCACTGGAACGCAAATGATAATTCTTACCTAATTATGGTACTTCCATTTTCCTTCCCAGGAGTTTAGTTTAGAAATGGCCACATGACCAGTGATATGGAAAGCAAAAACAAAAA